AGCTGGAGAGACTCAGGGAGAGCTTCTAAGGGACAGTAGGATCCAAATGAAGCCACTCTCATCTTTAACACACTAGGAGAAGCAGTTAAAAAAGAGGGAGTAGAAGCCAGTTGGGTTACAGTGAGATTATCAGCATCTGTCACACACAAAAGGAACAAAACGATTATATAGTTTTGGGCCGAAGATTTTTATATGGTCCTCTTCTGCCACCTGTCGACAATGTTCTCTCATTACAGTTTCAAAAAAAACACTGTTCGTTGAACAAGTTCAGAATATGAACTAATTAAATTACTAAAACAAAACTTACTGCCATTGATTAGAACCGACTCATAGCTGATTCTTCAGCGGATGGGGAGGGGGCCTGTAAATTACTCAGAGAAGTTTGCCTATCTTTTTTCTGCCGAGCCCTAGGTATATTATTCCCTACTCACTAGGTCACCAGAGTTCAACCAAAATTATCCAACTAGTCAAAAGGTTGGTGCTCCGGACCCTCCCAGAGACATCTGAAAGACAAACCTGGCGCTCTATTTACGAAAGTTTACAGCTTTGAAGACTCTTTGGGGCAAGTCTACTCTGCACGCATGCTGCTGCGGGCTGTAGAGTCAAAACAGACTCATAGCTGTGCAAAGGGCACAGATGTCCATTTAAAGATTAAGGTTTATCTGATTTCCAAGTCATGTGTTTTTCAATTGCTTTCCTTGCATCTTCTAGTTGAACTATGACTAAAGATGGCAGAATAACCAATGCCTTGGAGTTGTGGTGTTGGCAAAGAGTAAGAAATAGTCCTGAACTGCCAAAAGAACAAAAGTCTTTCCTGGAGGAAGTGCAACCAAGTTGCTCCTTAAAGGCAAGGATGGTGAAATTCTATACCACATACTTTGACTATTATATCAAGATGGGTCCATCCTTGGAAAAAGATGTCATACTGGGAAAAGGAGAAGACCAGAGACAGAGGGGAAGAGCCTCAACAAGATGAATTGATACAGTAACTGTCCCAATGGAGATTGTCGCCGTTTGGAGATTGCAAGGATGATGCAGGATAGGGTAAGACTAAAATCTATTGTTCAAAGGGTCACATAGTCAACTAGAGGATATGTGAAAACAACAGCATGAAAAATAATTAGGTTAAATTCTCAGCCAATGTACCTCATACTCAGACAACATCCCTTTATCACCGGAGCCTGTGTGCTGCTATAATGCTGAACAGGTTTGTGTGGAGCTTCTAGACTAAGATGAACTAGAAAGAATGGCTTGTAATGTACTTATAAAAATCATCAAATCAAACCCTTTGGATCACAGCAATCCAGTTGATCTATAACCAATCATGGGGGTGGTATGTGATCAGGTAGTGTTTTGTTCTGTTCTGTGTAGGGTTACCATGACTTGAGGATGACACAACAGAAGCTAACAAAAGCAACAGAGTAGGAATGACACCGAGGTCATTAGGGGTTACAGTAGTCATTGGACTGGAGATCCTGGTGATACCAAAGAATTGCTGGAATCAGGATATCAGAAGGAGAAATTAGAAAAACAGCAAGAAAGTAAAGATGAGCTTTAAAAAAAAATAAATAAAAGATGAGCTTTGTGAGGCAAAAATAATACATATTTCAAAATATTTTATTGTTCATCATGGATTTTAACATAATTTTTTATTGCTATACAGTACATTTGTTTTCAAATGAAAACTTTATAATCTACATAGTGTAAATTATAGTAAACCTGAATTCCAAGTATTTCTGACATTATTGTTAATGAGATGACAATCAAATCATTTTATTAAGTAGAAGATTGATATAAATTCCATCATTAGAGGTTGTGTTTTACTCAGAATTAAAGAGGTAGTATCTGCAATCAGAAAATAGATTTTGGTGTTGGAATCAATAGGCTCGTGTGTTGGAAAAATCAGCATGTAAGACACAAATCTAGGTTGACAATCACATTTCCCTAGGAATAATTTCATGTACGTATATATCTTAATCAGAAGCCTGTCTGAGTAACTATGGACATTAGCAGAGATGAGTGAACACTGTTCATTATAACTGTTCAAACAATGTTTATAACTGTTCAGAAGAAGAGCTGAAGACCTTTATCGTTTTTTTCTGAATGATTTGTAGCCACCAAATTAATTGTACTTGGTGGCAATTAGTGTTACTGTTTTTTATTAATCAAAGATCTAACCGTTAGAACTTCCAAACTGCATTAAACAATACATTTTTATCACTGAGTCAATATGTAAATTCACCTGTTTCACCTGTCCAGTGATATAGACCTTTTAGATGACCTCTGTAGCCTGGTTTTGGTAAATATATGACTTCAGCAAGGCCTTTCTTTCTTTCAGGTTTTGAGGGGGAAGTGAATCAGAAATAGCTTATGAACATTTCCTATCTAACCATTTCAATAAACCTTCTTTGAGGAATCAAATCTATTAAAGGATTGCCAGGGTCTCCTGTTATGCTTTGCTTTTCTTGCGTGAGGTGCTCCGGTAGCATTTATTGGTTTTAGTTGTTGTTGTTTGGGCTTTTGGGGGTATTTGTTTGTTTTTGGTCCTTTGTTCAGAGAAGTGGGGTGGTTTAAGTAAAATATTTAAGAATTTGGTTTTGTAGTGATCCACAACTGTGAGACATATGAAAGACTCACCAATGTAACATGTAATATGAATTGATGTTAATAAAATAGTCTTCTTTGGTGTAAGCTTATTGTGTCTATAATACAGCATCACAAGTCTTCAGTTTCTCATTCTGGCATGCCTGTAAATTAAAAATATTAACAGTGAAGAACAGTATCGATTTAATTTTTATTGTACAATAAATATAAAATATGCCAATATGTTTTTCACATCACTATTTCATGTAATTAATGCTAAATATTGCTTTGCCACCCTCACGAATACAATTGTTTTTCATAATTTTTAGTGCATTGGATGCATTCTTTTTTTAAATGTTGTCATTGCTGATGTTGATTTCCTTCAAGTCGAGCACGACTCATAGTGACCCTATGAACAAAAGACCCGAAGCCCCTCTACAACTATCAACATTTATCAAAGTTCATAAAGTTTCTGGAGGCATGTTATTTAGGAAGTGGATGCCACTCTTGCTTCCAAAAGCTAAAATAGTATGATATATTTTTTTAATATTGGTTTGCATGCAGAATTCATATACATTGTGGTTCATTTCTCTGTATTACATTTCATGCATTCCTCTATTCACATTGTGTTTCATAGTATTGATGGGGTGGTATTGATAAATTTGGGATTGTTCAAATGTACCGTATAGTTGTAAAGCTGACGTCAGTTGTCTCCAGTCTGCAAAACTGGTTGTTTGCCCTAGAATTCTATTTTTCTTTCTTTAGTCATGTAAATAAACTGTTTACTAGGAAAGAAAATGCATCTTTCCTGGATGAGTACTTACTTCTTTGAAACTTTTTTTCTCCAGTTACATGTAATTGAATTAGTATTTATCTCTTTGAAGATGTCTTTCTCAGTCATATGTAAATTATATCACAAGTTGTCTGTTTACTAGAAACTGTAGCACCTAACTAAAAAACTAATGTCGACTCTTAGATGGAGGCATTTTTTGAGAAGATTCTCTCTGCCCTTCCAGATCTACAATAAAATGCTTTGGATCTTGCAACCTATCTATCTTGTTGGCAATTGACTATAGAAAGAACCCCTCACATTCAGTAACAGTATCATTCTGATGCTTTGTGTTTTACAAAATCAATCACCATTGAAATGGAATTTATTCTTATTTCATAAGTCCGAAGTACTTAGCCTATGATGCTCTAAAATGAGAGAAAATTTGAAACTACCATGTGAATAAAAATATGACTGTCCTGATTTCTTTCTGATCAATCAAGTAACTCTCTGGTAGCCATGACTCTCCTGTTTATTCTGTAAGAGTCACAGAGTTGGCAGTTATGGTTCACTTACTGCATGCCAATCACTTTTCTAGAAGTGCCTTACACATATGACCCCACCTGTGAGCAAGTACTGTAATAACATTCATTTTACAAATGAGTATTTGAAATCCATGGAGGTTTAGCACTTTGCCCAAGGTCACACAAATCTAATGATAGGCATTGAATTCCAAGTCAGAGGCATTGATCACTGTATTTATTGTTTCCTTGATAACCCAAAATCCACTACTATGGAGTCATTTCTGACTCATGGTGAGCCCTCTATCAGTTTTGTAATGCTGCAAATCTAATGAGAGTAGACTGGCTCATCTTTTTTCTTAGAAGGTTGATGGGTTTGAACTGCTGAGGATGAAAAATTTCTAGATTGACCTTCCAATTCCCACTTTATTTCACTCAAACACTTATGCAGAAGCACTTTTCACTCCACTTTCGAGCTGGCCTTCTCTATCCCCAAGACCTGTGCCAAGAACCCTTTCTGTGTATTGTTTCTTTACAATGATTGAATCAGATTAGCATCATCTCTGAACTCTCATTATTTTCCAAGACCCCACTCATGTTCCTTACTTATTCCCTTTACTTCTTATTCATACCACATTGTCTTGCCATTGCTCAAATTCATCTAGTTCACCCAGCATCTTCATGAGTTTTCATTTGATTTATTCTGTCTGGAATATTCTTCCTACATTTCTTCTATCATTTTGCTTAAAACCCTTACTCAATCTCAAGTCTCTCTCTCTTTTCCAAAAGACCAACTTCTTCTCAGTACTTTAATTTCTTCCCTCTCAAAAAAGTCAGATGCAATCCTTTTTCTTTAGTTCTCCCTTTGTTTAGCTTATGCAATACATACAGTGCTTATTAGGGTCTGTCTTCAAACTGTAGTCTTTCAGTAAGCAGCCAAGCATGTTAGCTGTTTGCATTTGGGACTCCTCTTATTACTGTTATCTTTCCTCATTCTCCCAAAAGTCAAATTTTCTGCAACAAATTGTGTCTACATAGTTTAGGTGCCACGTAAGTCATCATGAACACATGGTATAGGTGTATCCTCAACCTACAAGATGCCTTACCAAGGAGTTCTGAGATTTGCTCTACCCACAGTGCATCAGGAAGGACCTCCAGTTGGGTGGTGTGAGGGGGAGTTTTATCTGAAAATGGTTCCAAAACCTGTGAGAGAGATAAAAAGAGGATGACGCTTTAGAAACAGCTATGCCTGTGTCTTTGCCAGAATTTGTCTGGTGCCTGGCACTCAGCTCTCCTCAGAGAAAACATTCCTGTGCCGTGGTCAGCTGCTTGTGTAACTCATATGTTGAATATTATCTCTTAAAACATGAAAACTGTGTCTTATTTTAAATGCAGTACTATATGCCTCACTTTCAGGAGTCCTCATGTGTGAAAAATCTACATTTAGGTGATTAAAAGCATTAGGACTAAAAAATGCATCAGCATTCAGTGTTGGTGAAGGGGCAGATAAATAGCTCCTGACTATTGATGGGGTGGTATTAATAAGTTCAGAATTCTCAATTGGCATCTTTTGTCTCCATCCAGTGAAACTGGTTTGTCTTAGAATTCTTTGTTTCCTTTCTTTAATCATGTAAAATAATTTAAACTGTCTAACAGGAGAGGAAATGCAACTTAGCATTTATCTCTTTGAAACTGTTTTTCCCAGTCATATGTAAATTGTATCTTAATCTGCTTCTTTGCTTAGAGAGGAAGTCATCTTTCCTGAGTTATCTTTTCAGTCATGTGTTAACTATTTTGTAGGGTTTACAGTAAACAGATACCTGTTTACTGGTATCTGCAGTATAAATTGTTTTTATGTGAAAATTCTTTGATTTTACGAACAAAGGTGCATTGTTGATTGAGTTGGTGTCTAACCCTGGTATGAAAACCTAATGGCCACTCCCAGAGAAGGAGACAGTCTTTGAGAAGGATCTCACTGCCTTCTCCCAGATCTATAATAAAGTGTTTATCAGTGTTGCAATCCATCTGGCACTTGACTACAGAAAGAACCCCTTGCATTCAGTAATACTATTATTTGTAAGACAAACTGGCTCCCTGAAAGAAATGATTGGGCTGGTGCATTAAGATTCAAAATAGGGGGCGCTCTAGTGGCCTAGTGGCAAGAAGCTGCACTGCAATCCCAGAGGCGCACAGTTCAAATCCACCAGATGCTCTGCCGGGGAAGGAGGGACAATCTCCTCCTGTACCAGTCAGATCTGATTTGACGGTACACACACAAAAAAAAATAATAAAAAAATAAATAAAAGATTCTAAATAGGTTGGATGGGTTGGACCTAGTAGCTCCACTTCAATGACTTAATCTTAGGAAATCATTATGTATTTCCTTATGAAAATACAGCTATATGTTTATTAACCAAATCATTGCTTTGAATAGTGAAAAAATAGAAACAAAGCCAATTCAGAGTTGGCTAGTTAAAGTTTAAAAACCTAACCAAACCCACTTTCATGGAGTTGATTCTGACACATGAAAACCCTCCATCGAGTTTTTAAGGCTGCAAGCAGTTTGAATAATCCAGTTGCTTTGAAACAGAAAGATAGGCACTTTCTTCCCATGTAATTTACAGTCTCTCAAAATCCACTGGAGGGTCAGTTATGAGTTTGTTCCAACTCAGCAGCAACCAGCAACTACAACATCTTTAAGGAGGTTTCCAACCCATCTTTACTGAGCAGCTAGTGGATTTGAACCTCTGACTTTCCTGCCAGCAGCATAGTAAGTAATACAGCATGCTACCAGAGTTCCTTCAATAAAGTATGGATATATCTATATGTGAAGGATATCTGGTGTTTCAAGTGGTTAAAGTGCTCAGCCTTTGTTATCAAGACACAATATTATAAAATCACCTTTAACATCAACATCCAAGAAGTTTCAAAAAAATAATTTCTCTCAAGAAAAGGAGCCACCAGAATTCCCTTTTCCCCCAAAGTTGCCACATACCTTTGATACATGAAGCGAGGTATAGGTATTAATGAAAATGAGTAAATCGTGGAGTATTTTACACTCATGAAAAGATCTGAGGTGGATCTACTTGTCCCAAACTGGGGAGATTTTCAAAATATATCCATAAGGAAAACAAAAACTTATTGATAAATAAGAAAGGCCAGTTGCAGTACATGGATACTGGGATTACATTTAAAAACCAATTTTTTTTTAAAAAACATTTATTAGCAGATAGATAAGCAGGGTGAAGGAAAAGACAGCACAGTGAGGATTTGATGAGACATTATAATAAATGGAACCAATTAATTGCAGTTGATGTTATAAAACAAAAGCTTACAAATGATTAAATGAAAACTCAATAGCAGCCCTCTTTTCTACAACTTTATGCACATTTCTTGAAGGGGAAATACATTACCAGAAAAAGTTCTGGAAGAGCACATCCTAAATCATTATCAGGGCTCATTCTGGAAAATGAGGAAGGAGGAACCAAGTTTACTGTGAAAAGTCTGGTAAAGTTACTTACTCTTTCTTTTCAGTCTCTATGCCAACAATTTTTTATGATTTAAAAACACCAGGAGAGGAACACATGCTTGGAGGTGTGGGGGGAGAAGAAGACTCTAGACTAGATTGATTGATTCAGATCCTGGGGTAATGTGTGTAGGTGTGTCAGACATAAGGAAATTGGTTCAAGATAGAGAAGGGTTCAGAGTTGTTGTATATAGAGTTGCTATGAGTTCCAGACAACTCAACGGCGCTTAACAAGAACAACAAAAGCAAGGCAAGTAAGTCAGGAAAGTAAAAAAAAAAAAAAATTTAGATGTCTGTGCTTGCAAACTCAACCAAGAGGTTAAGTAATGTAATGGGTGTTGTTTATACACTTAGATGAAAGTTTTTCAAGTTAAATTTTCTGTGCTTTTAGAGGGTCTTTGGTAATAAGCAAAAAGCACTGTTTCCCTTGGTCATATTTTGCAATATGAAAATGACAAACGAGCCTTTTTGTGATTCACACAAATATGCCACATCTAATCACAAACACTCAGGGGAGGATGGGCAATCTCCTCTGGCAGGATTAAATGACTGAAAACCCACTGGAGAGTCAGCTATGGATTGGTTCTGACTCTACAGCACATAGCAGCAGCAACAACAACAATCACAAACAAGAGATTTTGTTGTGAGAGACAGTGTAGGCAGTCAGGAACCCCTTGGGTCTTTCCATTCATTAACTAGTCCTCTAAGAGCATGATGAGGGTTGGACTTAAACAAACATGTGATACAGGAGATAACTGCCGACAATGACCATATCCTTGTCATGGAAATGTTTATCTTATGAATCATTGTTCTTTCCATAACGTTCTTCCCTTCAATGTAGAAAAAAAAATATCTTCCAGAAAGGATGGGAAATACATTCAAATGAATATGCAAACAATGACTCATTAAGTTACTTTTCTAACCAGATTTGCTTTTTAAAAAACTAACAAAGGATCACATAGCTGGCAGAATTTAAGTCATGCTGCTACTGATCTACATGGCTTCCTTTGGAAGGTGCTGGGACTTGAGGGTTTTCTGACTTACAGATGATGGTATATGTCAGGATCCCGCTGGAGTCGGGTCTGGAACCCTATATACAAGTCATCCCAGAGTAGACCGTTTTTCACCACGTGCCTCATGACATCCACTCGGCTCCGGATCTGAAACAGACACACAGCAACATGCAGGGAGGGTCCAGACAGCACGGAATATAACAGCCCTCATGTCCCTGGGAACAAACAACTGGAACAGTACACCAACAGAGAACTGCTTGAAGTGGAGGCTGTGTTTAGAAGAGGCCGTGGCACTAGGGATATTATAGTTAAAGTCAGATGGGTTTTGGCTAAAAGCAGGGAGTACCAGAGGAATGTCTGTGTTTCCTTGACTATGCAAAGGCATTTGGCTGTATAGATCACAACAAACTGTGGCTGACTGAGAAGAATGGGAATCCCAGAACACTTGATCATGCTAATGTGACACCTATGCTTGGACTAGGAGGCAGTCATCAGAACAGAGCAAGGGAACATTGCATGTTTCAAAATTGGGAAGGGCGTATGCCAGGGATGTGTCCTATCACCATCCATTTTCAATCTCTTTGTGAAACTGATTATCCAGGAGGCTGGACTCTATGAGGAGAAATGTGGCATCAGGATTGAAGGAAGACTTAACAATCTGCATTATGCAGATGAAACCACCCTACTTGCTGAAACTGAGGAGGACCTGAGGTGCTTGCTGCAGAAGGTCAACAACTGCAGTCTGGTGCTTGTTGGCCATCTGAATGTCTTCTTTGGTGAAGTGTCTGTTCATATCCTGAGCCCATTTTTCTATTGGATTATTTACCTTTATCTTGTGGTGCTCAAGTATTTTATAAATTCTGGATATAAGTCTCTTATCTGATATTTCATTACCAAATACTTTTTCCTAGTCTGTGGCTTCCCTTTATACCCTGTTGGAGAAGTTTTTGAATGTGCATAGGGATTTGATTCTTAGAAGGTCCCATTCATCTATTTTATCTTCTCCTGGTTGTGGGTTTTTCAGGATACTTGGAAGATTGTTTATGTTGTGGATTAGGACTTCTAGCCTTGTTTCTAGCTTTTACTTAATGAAGTTCATTTAAAAAAAAAAAACAGCCCACAAAAAAACTGCAGCCTTCAATATGGATTGAAGCTCAACATCAAGAAATCAGATTCTCAACTTTGGGCCGGTTGGCAGCACCATGATAGATAGTGATGAGATTGAGATTGTTAACAGCTTCAGTTTGCTTGGCTCTGCAATCAACAGCCAGGTATCAGCAGCCAAGAAATTAAAAGATTAATTATATTGGAAAAGTCTGCTGTCAGAGACCTCTCCAAAGTACCGAAGGGCAACGGTGTCAGCCTAGAGACTAAGGTGTGCCTGATACAGGCCATGGTCTTTGCAATTACTTTCTATGCATCAGAAAGCTGGACAATGACTGGGAATAGTAGAAGGAGAATTGATGCCTTTGAGCTGTGGTGCTGGGGAAGAGTATTTAATGGACTGCTAAGAGAACAAACAAGTTTGTCCTGGAAAGGGTGAAGCCCGGCTACTGCTTGGAGGCAAGGATTCTGAAGCTTCATCTGACATACTTTGGACATGTTGCAAGGAGGAATCAGTCCTTGGAGAGGGACGTCATGTTTGGGAAGGTGGAGGGACAGTGCAGGAGAGAAAGACCCTCAATAAGATGGATTGATTCAGTGACTGGCGTAATAGGCATAGGTGTGTCAGTAACAATAAGATTGACACAGCATAGAGAAGGGTTTAGGGCTGTTGTACATTAGGGTCACTATGCATCACAGACAACTCAATCACACATAACAGCAACATGTCCCCTGGAGAAGCTGCAACCCTTGACAGCAGACACATGGGGAATGGAAGAAAGATGTCTGACACACAGACTGGGGGGTGGGAGAAGGAAGGAGAAACACAATCAGCAAAAACTGAAGTATGGAAAACAAGACAGATGAAGAGCTGGCTAAGTGTAGTGACTCTGACTCTGGTGTCTGATTTTGCTGTTCAAATACGGGTTCTAGCATATGGTCTTCCTAACTATTTTCGAACTCAGTTTCACTACTCTGAAATGAAGATAATAATAGGATACTCTTCATAGGAGTATTGTAAAGATTAAAGAGGCAATGTATACTGAATATTTAACACTGGGTCTAACATATATTAAGCTTTTAACAAAAGTTTTTTTATTTTTATTCCTCCTCTTTCTCCTCCTCCTCCTCCTCCTCTTTCTCATTTTTCCAAAGGAGAATATTTGTTTCCTTTCTGAACATTCAGACACAAAGCAGAGTCCACCAGTCTACTGCAATCTGCTGTGATCCCATAGAGCAGTATTCATTCAGATTAGGCAGCCAAGGTTCTGCCTTGAAGTTCCAACTTCTGATGCTGATTTAAAAAAAAAGGAATTCAGAGACAATCAGAGATGGTTTCAAGTTCCAGTTCATCTCTTCTTAATTATGCTAATAAGGAGCTCTGGTGGCATAGCGGGTGACATGTTGAGCTGCTGATTGCAATGTCAGTAGTTTGAATCCACTAGCGGCTCTGAACAAGTGAGATGAGACAGTCCCCTCTTGAGATTTACAGACTTGAAATCTGATGGATGGCTACTAAGAGTTAAAGTCAGTTCAACAGCAATAGGATTTTGGTTTGGATTTTAACTGTTTAATTTTATAGGAGGGCTCTGGTGGCCTAATGGTAAGGAGCTATGCTACCAAACTGAAGGCTCATGGTTCAAATCCACAAGCTACTCCATGGAAGAAAGATGAGAAATCTTCTCTGAAAACATAGTAGAGGGTCAGCTATGAGTTGGTTCAAATTCAACAGTACAAATGAACCACATTATTAATGCAAAGGAAATGAAGGGGCATGAAAAGATAGTCTTCTAAGACTGTATGTTGTTTCATGAACTCTTTGGTACCAGCGCTAAAGTTTTCCAGGAGCTTTTTCAATATATGGTATTCCCCCCAATAAAACCCTATTATCCTAATGGGGAGCTCTGATGGCATGTTATTGCATAATGTCAAGCCAGAACCAATCATAGCTGACTCTTTTGTGGGTTTTTAGAGTCATTTAATCACTTGGAAGAGATTGCCTTTCTCCTGTGGAGGATCTGGTGGATTTGAACCTCATTCACTTGGGTTGGCACCCTCACTCCTTACCACTAAGTCCCTGAGCTCCCTAGTGGGTTAGTGGTAAGGACTTGTCCTGCCAACTCGAAGGCATAGGGTTCAAATCTACCAGCTGCTTGGTGGGAGAAAGGTGGACAATCTCTTCCCATATGATTTGCAGCCTCTGAAAACTTGCTGGAGGGTCAGCTATGAGTCATTTTTTACTTGATGGGACTAATAACATTATCCTAATGACTGTAGCACAGTGACTGCAACCACTGTGGAAAGCATTGTGGCGCTTTCTCAAAAAGTTGCAAATAAAGATACCATTTGACCCATCAATTCCACTACTGGGAATATACTCTAAAGAGACCATAAATGACATCCAAGTAGATATATGTATACCCATGTTTATCGCGGCTTTGTTTACAATA